TAGCAATTTTTAATGTCCTATTCTTTTTCCTTCCGGCTCTCATAATATCCACTCTTTGCCGTCTGATCAAGTGTCTTTAGCTATTTGAATTTCTAGCCGTACTACCACATGGCCAAGCGACCTTTTGCTAATGGCATAAAGGACACTAGCGTATGCCGTACATGCCATTAATTCTACAACAACAACAACAACAACTTTTGGTAATGGCTTATCGTGGTTGCCTTTCTGACTGTGCCCCGCGAAATCGAAACGAAGAGGTGTACTCACCAAGTATTTTGTCAATATGAACATTATATCTGTAATATTATAATACTTGGGTGCTGAATAAAATAGGATATTTGGATTCTTAAACCATTAGGCGATTTCTGTCCTCGGACGCTCGTTACCTGCAGTTTTTCTATTTTGGCAATGCATGCGGATTGACCTTAATTTCCTATGCATGTAATGATATGGTCACATTCCTTTAACTCAAGGATTCAAACGGACACTTCGAACATAGTACAATGTAATAAGGCTCATTATCCATTTCTTAGCGAATACTTTAGCCTTTTTTGCATGTAGGCTGGCCTTACTTTCGTCCCTCCAAGTCCAGATGTGACTGTGAGGACGGACGCGTCGCTATTCGGATGGGGAGCCTTTCTTCCTCCACTCCGCGTCTCCGGGGTCTAGGGCACTGCCTGTTGAGGCAACCATATCAACGTGTTGGAACTCCAAGCGGTGTTCAACGCTCCTCGTCACTTCTGACATTACTCAGTAGGTTGTTCCTCTCGAGTCCAGCGCGACACCACAACGACAGTGACGTACATCAATCGTCAGGGCGGCACTCGCCCTTCCCAACTTCTGCGCCTTTGCGTGGCAGCTCTTCATGTGGACGATCGATCAGGGTATCAGCCCTCAACCTGTCCACTTGCGGAAACCAGCAACAGCACAGCAGACGAACTCTCTCGGGCGCTGTCCTACCGACTGAGTGGACTCTTTATCCGAATGTTGTCAGCCAGATTTTCGCGGAGATCGAGCGAAACTGACGAGACTCCAAGTACGACGGCTGCTGGTCCTTCCGGTCAGAGAGTACATCTTCTGTCAGCCCAAGTCAGGGATCCTCCACCCACCACCGGAGAGTCTTCACTTGACGTGCTGAGCGTTGTCCAACGATCTTTCAGGGCGCAGGGTTCTTCTGCAGATGCTGCGTCTATTTCGGCCCGGGGTCGCCGGCTGTCCACTCACAAGATTTACATCAGCCGACTACATATCACATTTTGGTGCGACGACCATGATGTTTCTGTAACCGAAGGTCCTGTGAGTTCCGTTGAAGAATTCTTCGTGTGTCTGTTCCACTCAGGCCTCGAGGTTGCTGCAGTCCGCAACTACTGGTTGGCCTTGCCGTCTGTCCACGCACGCTTCAGCGATGGCTCGACTCTCTCCGACAACGCTGCTATCCAACATCTCCTTCGAGGGATGTTTGTCTAGCGTCCTCACGTCAAACGCCTCATCTTATCCTGGGAACTCGAAAGCTTTCCTCTAGCTCTTGCCAGTCCCCCCTTTCAGAACTACTGGCTGATGCGTCTGACCTGCATCTCAGCATCAAGTTGGCTGTCCTCACGGTTGTTACATCGAGACGGGGTCGTGGGCTACATGCCCTGTCGATTGCCGGTGGTCACACCCGCTGGGAGCAACATAAGGTTCGTTATATCCCAACCATCGGGTTTTTGACGAAAAACCAGACGCATACCTTCCGGACTCCCAGCATAATTGTTCCCTACATAGTCTCACTTTCGGGAGACGACTCTGACAAGAGATGGTGTCCAGTTCGGACTCTCAAGTGATATCTTCCCAGGACCAAGCATTACTGAGAATCTAATTCCCAGCTCTTCGTCACCACGACGAAACCCTTTTCATCCATTCATGGACAGTCTGGACCATTATCTATCCGAGACTGGCCGGCACAACATGATAGACGACCCGATCTCACGTCAGGGCCCACGACGTTTGGGCCGCCTGTGTGCCCTGGTCGTTCTTCAGAGGAATTCCTCTAACTGCACTCTGCCGGGCGAGTTGCTGGAAATCTCCCTCCACTTTCACCGAGTGCTACCTGAAAGATGTTCTGCAAAGCGAAACTGCCCATAGCAAAGCGACCCTGCGCTCGGCGGTCCAGGCAATATCCAGCGCTGTTCCGAGCTGGGCGGTGGATACTTCGACTTAGGAGTTTCTCCTGGTGAGTGCTTGCTCTTGCGACACCCGCCTTATGTTCCTATTAGTAACTACACTCCCGTCACCGACCCACATCCAGGGTTCCGTGTCACTCGGCATATGTAGGCTGGGCAGAGGTATGTGAGCGCAGGAGACTCCTCCCCCACGTGGAGTGGGTTGGGTCTCCTAGTGATTCTTACCCTTGCCCAGCTGCTCCCGCCCATCCTTCCCACTTTGGCTCCGATGGTTTTCACCGCTTCGAAAAGAAGGACGAACATGGCGGCGGGACCGCAGTGCATTGTGGAGGGTCACGGGGCAGTATGCATAATCAAGTCTTTTCAGTGAATTTTAATAGGCACATTTGCATAGGAAATTTGCATATGTAGGCTGAGCATGGGTAAGTATCACTAGGAGACCCGACCCACTCCACGTGGGGGAGGAATTTGTCTTTAAGAGCCAAGAATGAAGTAGTAGCGCTATTTACACTTATGATCGTCTTATAATTTGTGTACACGGTGACCTTTGCCCTAAGTTTGGTGCACATTACACATGCCCACACACTTGCAGCCGCTACCAGGGCACAAGTGAGGACATGCCCTGTGTCGCGCAGTTTATGCTAGTTCCAGCATATGCGGTCCGAGAAAAAAGCAAGGACTGGTCCGATGACTGAGTCTGTGGGCATCAACCATTCTAAAAGATTTTTCTTCTCAGAATTAAATAGTTCAAAAATATACAAATGTTGTTTAGAAGAGGCTCTGAATCTGAAGCAGCTCTGTGGTTGTTAACAACCACATTCATCTAGTTTAATTTGGATGCATGATCCGGAATGCAGCAGGAGTTTTGCAAAAAACGGGAGACCCTGTGTCTAAAAAGAGGATTTTACTATAATTAGAATGTCTTGAGAAATTTTCATTTTTTTCAGTCTTCTTCAAAATATATCAGGCACAACAAGATCCGTGGCAACCATCAAAAAGGGCGCCTTTGTAGGGTTAAACGCCACGAGACTGAAGTGAGTCTTCTGTAATAAGAAAAGGTTGATAATTATAAAACCTTAAATGAGCAGGATTAAATAGAAAGACAGAACATCCGACAGACAGGACGGCCGATGGACAGACAGATAACTTTCAAAAAAGGATTGCATTATTGCCATTTACAACCACTGTCCTGGTTTAACTTTAGGGAAGGTTGATCCGTTTTGAGCAATATTCTTTTAAGAACTCAAGTGAAATGTGTTAGCAAACCATTCTTTTAAGAACTCAAGTGAAATGCGTTAGCAAACCATGCAATAACAGATTTAGTCTTGGTGGTCATTTAAAACTGGTCTTGTGTCTACACATATTCTTTATGGTTTGAAGATTTATGGTTTCGCTGTTTTTACCAGTGATTTGTACAATTCCTTTCACAAACCTGTTGTTTCCCGGCAAAATGCACTTTGTTTGTCCTAATCCATCATTTTTACATATTATTAACTGTCACCCAGTTGGCTTGGTAGGGGTCACAGTGATTTTGCAGTTTGCTAGTGAAAAAAAATGCCAGCATAGTTAATCTGTTCAAAAATTAACTCCACTCACCATTCAATATCACACAAGGTACTGTTTCTGTGGTACTCCTTGCATGCTGTCATTGAGACTTTGAACTTGAAATTCCACCTAAATTCGTTGTCAGCAGAAATTCGTTTGATTAATATTTCAGGTGGACATTGGCTGATGATTACCGCCTGTGCTGCGCCTTGTCAAGGCTGCAGGATTTCTCTGTAAAGGACGACTGCTTAACTACAAAGGTTAAACCCGACTTGAACCTGTGCGACAGCCTTATGCCGAACAATGCATTACGCGTGGCATTGTGGACGTTGGGAATAAGCGCGCTTGTCGGTAATTTTTGTGTCATCATGTGGAGGCTCCTGCAAAAAGGAGATCGAGGGGGTAAAAAGACTCTGTCGCTTATGGTTGGCAATCTAGCTGCAGCAGACCTGCTAATGGGTGTGTACATGTTGATTATGGCAGTTGCAGATCTGGAATTTGGCGAACAGTACTTTCTCCAGGCCCCCGAATGGCGTTCCAGCACACTGTGTAAAGTCGCTGGAGTTCTGGCAGTTCTGTCCAGTGAGGCTTCGGTGTTTTTCGTTACTCTAATCAGTGTTGACTGTTTCCTTGGTATTGTCTTTCCATTAAGATCCCTAAGTCTGGAAATCAAGTCGACAAAATTTGTCTTTGTTATCCTGTGGTGCCTGGCATTGTGTCTAAGTGTTATCCCAACAATTTACGTTGGTTCTGATTCAGATGTATATGGACTTTCGGATGTTTGTATCGGCCTTCCTCTAACAACGAAGGCGTCCAGGGTGGTGGCCAAGACATCATCTTTTAATTGGAAGGAACGAAAGTCTTTTGGCATTCACTATCAAGATTTTCCGGAAGCTACAGGATGGAAGCCATCTTGGATCCTGTCAATCGTACTCTTTCTTGGCGTAAATTTGATTTCATTCCTGATTGTGCTGTGTTGCTACATCGCCATTTTTATCAGCGTCAAGTGGACAGCCAGAGCTGCCCACTTAACGAGAAAAGCTGATAGGGATCGTGCAATCAAAATGGCGGTCAAGATGGCTTTGATTGTAGCGACTGATTTCTGCTGCTGGATGCCAATAATCATAATGGGGATCCTATCTCAGACAGGAACAGTCAAGCTGTCTACCAACATGTACGCGTGGACTGCAGTCTTGATTCTGCCAATTAACTCTTCCCTCAATCCCTATCTGTACACGTTTTTCACTGTCTGTTGCGTTAAGCCCAAAAAAGAAACTTTGCATACCTACGCAAAGAACAAAGAAAACAAACAAACACACATATACACACTGAGCGGACATTCTGGCGAAGAGAATATTGAGGGGGAAATGCAGCCAAATCAACGTGATGCGGGACTGAAGCAAAATTGATGGGAAGAAACTAACAGCTGTCCTTAAATTTCAAACAGCTTCACGATTTCCGCAGTCATCAAAACCACGCATTTCTTTGTAACTTTGATAGATTTTTGTCCATTTCATTTTAGGTGCAGGATTTGGCATCAAAAATATAAAACGTAAAACGCAAGAAGCTGTAAAAAGCAATGCCTTTTATTGAACAACTAGTAATTTGAGGGGGCTAAAACCCAGCGGACGTAGGTCTACAAAGCATACAGGTGTGTACCGACTGATTGAGGTGTTGGGAATGCAGCCCCCTTGTGATTACTTCTAGTCAGCAAATAAAGCTTTGGTCGGCAAATGAATCAAAAAGTGGTACACCAACGATATAGGCAATAGCCGTTGGCATTTCCCGAAAGAATAAAATGTAGCGTATCTGGGATTCCATATTACACGACACGAGGTTTGCTAACGAGATACAAGTCGGAAAATGGACTCTGGCACCACCACAAGAAAAATTCTTCGCTACGCCCCTGAAATCATGAACTTTGATACAAAACAACATATAATAATTCACTTCTGCACACACTCCTAATGGAAGTGTTCTCCGTGCATATTAATAATCAAGATACCTTCCTTGGATAATAACAAGGCTTCTCCACATCCGCTAGAAGCTCGACCCATTCAGGCGTTATAGCAAATCAAGTGCACTTACTCTTTCCCTTTGGAAGAGTAAGTACAAGTAATGTCCACAGAGAGTCAAATTCCGTTCAGGCACTGTTGCGGTTCTTGTACAAGTACGCAGTCATGGTTGAAATAGGAGACATACCAACACCTAAAAAACACCTGAACTGGTGACATCGCATTAGACACGGCTTTCACCAGCTGAGAGACAAAGTGCATGTACTCATGTTTTGTAGTTTAGGGTGAAATCAAATTTTGTAAAAGCTACTCATACACAATCGTTCCTATATCACCGCAGGCCTAAGGTCCGTTGATCCCTTTTCTTGCGTATTATTTTTTCCTTTTCGCTTACCTGTTCCTCGGAGTTTGTCTTCGAAGGAGGACAGATTTATGGCGTGAACATATACTTTGTGATTTATTTGGTCTGAAGTTTCTCGTGTTCGGAGATGTTCTGAGCCTTACTGTTGGCTAGGCTCGGCTGGGCTTGGCTTCAGTTACGTTGGCTCATTTCAGTACTGTTATCATGAATACAAATGTTATGAGTTTAAAAACTCGGGCGTTTTATACCCAACACTTAATTGTTGAAAGCGTTTGGTTATGGTGCAAATATGGCTTCTTTAGCCTACATTACTTGCGCGTGACGTTTGAAATGTTCACTCTGAGTTTTTTATATGAGCGAGGGGCAATATGGTGTTCTTACGGGTGATTGCACATGCAACGGTACCAAAAAGGGAGGGGGTCAGGTAGAAGTAAACCCACATATAGCGAGGCCTGTTTTTAGTGACAATTTCTGCAGAAACTATTAAACACAAGTGTAAAAAAATCAGAAAGGAAAAAAAACTCAAGGAATGAAAAAAAAGTCAAGTGTATTGTGTATCATAACCATCCGTGATGTACATTTACATACGTTGGAAAGTTCAGTTGGTCACTAACGCTTTGTAAATAAAGCCAACGCTAGAACAGAGCTAAAACAATTATAACAAATGAAATTTACACATGAAATGGCCATAGAACTTTAGGTGATTCCCGATGACCATGACCCAGAGTCAAAATCAGAAAAATCCGGAAGAGGCGCCCAGTTCCCCAATCTATTACGGGATTGCAACCCCCCCAAAAAGGACCCACGCACGCTTTCGTTTAGAAACACCTTCAGATACGGTTTCCAAGCCTCAGATGAGCTTAAGTTACCGATGAGAGCGTTCTTAGTAGAAAACTTTCTTAGCTTAGTGTTGTTTGATGATTTGAATATCGGTGAAAATATGCGACACACTTTGAAAAAATCAGTCACATGTCGCCAGAGCCACTTTTCAGTTGAAGGCATTTGAAAGAATCTTGTTCAGCACATGTATTTAAGCAATAGGAATCCTCAACATCTTAACATATCGGGTAAACACAACGTCCATTTTTGTCATACCGAACTGAGTGAAACATCAAAACAAAAGTTCAAATTTGTCAACCTCAAAGTAAAACTCAAAAGTGGCTCCGGTGACTTGAGACTCATTTTTGCGGAGCAAGTCACATATAGTATAACAATCGGGTTGCCAACACTTTATGTACAGATGGAATGTTTTTCATCGAGGAAACCCTGAGTCTAAAACCCCTCTGTTGTTTACGCTGTGTGGATTTTGCAGATTTATTTATTTGCGACACAAATGGCAATTTCATCATGTTAAGTTGCAAATACCGTTACAAACAGCTCCAGTTTGTTCAGGGTAACAGGTGATATCCAAGTGAAGTTGAATACTTCATACTCGGATATTTTCATAGAAGGTTGTGTTTTCAAGAGCATGGGTGTTATATTAGGTCCGAAAGCCTGTTTTAAAAATAAGTACAAAGTTATGTTTTAAGTACATAGTTGCTGTTTGCTGAATACCTGAACTGGAACAAATACCATCATTGAGTTCACGTGTATACATCTCTGTCAAGGGTAGCTGCAATGAAATTTTCTTACATGAACATAGTTTTTAAAAAGCTTTTATACTCCTTTCCATTTTGTAGATATTACTTGTCATGTCTATTAATGTATTGATAAGTCCACAATCTAAACATTAGAATACAAACCGTTAGCACGCATAAATATTTCAATTATTTCATCATTATTTGAAAGTGATAAGATAACTTACTACCTACAAAATGATGCATTTACTTTTAAGTAAATATGTTGCTGCTTTGCACTTTGGCAATTTGCATGTTATCTTCTCTTTCGTAATATATAAATTTGATACTGTCATTTGAAGACGACAGCTGAGTAAGAGCAGAGCTACATTAAACTTTATTTGTCAACTGGCATTGGAATAGGGGTAGCCGGTCAGGAATGCACAAGACAAACATTTTGTAAGTTTGTGTTTTGAAAGTGTCCTTTGCAGTTTGTCATGATATGAATCATTGCATTTATTCACATTTTATATGTAGCCTTTTTATATGGTGCATGGTCTTTGATGTTTTAAGAAAGAACTTAGCGGCGTACATACGTTTGATATTTCAGTCCTGTTCGCACATTTTGATGGTAAGTTTTGCAGATTGTAAGTTTTGATTATTGTAGGTAGGTTTTGTGGTCTTTTTGCCCTGTCCTGTGTTGTATTCACGGTTAAAAGCCTGTGTGGATGCGAGTTTAAATCTCTCGGAACTTCATTCTTAGTATGCAGATTGCCATATTTGTGTTATTTCTTAATGCATCCAGTGTATGGTAATGGCTTTTTTTCCTCGAGGTTGTGCTGTTAACATTTGCTTCTTTTCCAGGTACAAATTTCTTATTATGTCTTATACTTACGTTACTTTCATAGTTAATTGAAAGGTCGTGTGCGAATGACGTTTTGGAGAGGGTGAGGCACGGTGCTGATAAGTGGCGAATCTGGGATTTTCCGGGGGTGGGGCGTAATCCAGGATTTTACAAAGGGAAAGGTGTGAACTAAAGCAGCAATAGTAAAATTCCCGTGAGCGCTTAGCATGAAGCCCTTACGGCGCAGGGTGCGGGGCCCACCAAAGGATTCTAGGATTTGATTGTGATGAAGGCCCTCTGTGGTGCAATTTCAGGCAGTATGACCCCTTTTTTCCTTCTCCCTCTTTTTCTTCTTTTTTACTTTTTTTTTTTTGGTAAAAAAAAAAAAGCCGGGACGCCCCCACGGCCCCTCCTTGGATGGATCCCTGCTGATATTCACTTGTATCCCCACGAAAAAACCTAGCACTGGTGTTTTTTGTCCTAGGTGACCCCAAAAAGTCCCGGACATCTCTTTTCACCCCTGGCAGAAAATGTTCTGTCAACAGGTTCCCCCCTTTACACTTGCTCGAGTACTTGGATGTTGATGAAACATTCATGGAATGGGTTTGAATGCTAACTTGTCGTTCTTGTTTCATTTTCTTGACATGTACATTCTGTGCTCTACATGACTCTTTGAAATTTTTTTTTTCCTAACAACCCACGCCTCAATAGTTTGAACAGTATACACGCTTATTTATAACGTCAAAAGGACATTTTCATATTGTTTAATTTCGACGGACATTGATGCATGTAAATTGCTGTATTTTCAGTTTGATCATGCAAAGAATACAACGTTGATATACTATATTACTGACTCAATGCTGTAAGTTTGTAACAGGCCATACCGTGGCCCACGATGCTTTCATATTCGACCAGTATATTTATTCAAAGGAGTGTTTACAAACGTTTTAAGTTTCAAATTACTACGCCTTTAAAGAATGAAAGTTTATTTGAACGTATGTAGGATGCTGTTTAGGGATATATAGGTAACTGCCATTGACATTACTGATCTCTTGCAAGTGATGCGCTATATTAGCTGCGTGCATCGCAATATTTCAGATGTCTTATCCATTGTCTGTCATTGTTCCTTAAGGAAAGGTATCAGTGGTGGACGTTGCGGCTTTTCATCCCTTTTCAAATTTTCAATTAAAAGTATGTTAGTTCTTCTTGCAGAGTGAAATTCTACGTGAATTATTTTTCTTGTTTTGAAACGTTGGGGCAGCTCAGCAGAATCGTTTCAACTAGGCATATCGCAATGCTGAAGAAAAACCCTGCAATTTAATTATAATATAATGTTTGAAACATCTGCCCGAAGAAGAACGCCTCTAAATTTACGTTATAAGTGTGGGATGAATTGATGTTGTTCTTGCATGCTGGTCTAAGTGAAGGTCAAAATGAGTAGCTTATTACGTATTCTAGATTTGAATCCTACATGTGATATTGTTAACAGTAACTTCAGCATTCAGGAACTGCAATGGACGCACAGAGATGTGCTGGAAAAAACAACTGCCAGTGGACTGTAATAAATCAAAGTTTCCTTCATCTTATTTGAAAATTCTAGGTAGGGGGTGTTGACCGTCAAATAACATGAAACGAGTTAGATATACATAGTTTGATGTTTGTTTGATGAGTCCGCGTGTATTGTAACTTCATATGATATAATCGATTTGTTTATGAGTGATGCTTTCAATTGTGAATGGTCTCGCAGTTTTCCCGATAGCAGTCTAATCCGTTTTGGTTATTGTTACGTGGGGAAACACACCTGTGGAGGCTATTGTGACTTTCGATTGTACTTTTAAATTAATGAATAAAACCAATTATAGTTTGTTTGAAGTTAAATAATGCTGAACTCGCCTGCTGGTCTCTATTGAAAAAGACTTCCTTAGTGTGTTGTTTCTGTTTTATTCCCTTAATATTATGCACTGTACCCAATGCATGAAGATGCATATTGAAGAGCTTCTATTTAATTTTAAATTAGTTTATCATTCTAAAAGATATGCTTGTAGATCCTTGCCTTCCACAATAACTGATGATTTTTTTTTCCAAAACGTGTTACATGTAAGTGTCATTTGGTACCTTTCCGACTCCTATCATTTCACCCGTGGCCTGCAGTCAGTTTCAGTACTTTTTTCTTTTATCTAAATGCGACTTCATGATTTAATTCAATTAAAATGAAGTTTAAGGAAACACGATACACTCTTTCTGGTCATCAGGACTTCATAGTTTTGGAAAATTCCAGTTTTTAATATGGATACGTTTTATTTTGTCAATAAAATTTTTGTATTAATCCTTTCAGCGTCACCCCCTTCTGTGCCATACACCCTAGAATACCAACCCACAGAGAGACAAACCAGCTTAACACCTTTACCTAGAGTTGGTCCATGATTGCATATTATCCGCTACAGTTTGCTGTGAGCTTAGTGTGGCATTTTCACGCAGTGTGTGGTACACCAACATTTACACAGTGCACTTGTCATATCAAACTTGCTAGTACCATCCATCTCACTAAGTCTTTGTTCGAATAAAATGAATTCTAGACATAATTCCAAATTTGGATACTGTATATTCTGTCAGCAGAGGAAAACTCGGAGAACACTATTCAAAGTAAGGATACAAAAAAAAGGAACATACAAAGTTCCTCCTCCCAAAAATTTGAAAGGAGAGGGATTTGAAATCATGTAATTTCAACTTAATATTCGGCATAAACGTTAAAGTGGCTTTAAATAATGATTTGACCAACGGATAGTTGGTCCTTACTCAGCCAGCCCTGGGCTGGCCTGCCCCACAACACTGAAGCCCCCTTCAGTGTTGTGGGGCAGGCCAGGTTAAGGGAGTTTATCACACTGGAAATGGCGCGGCTTGGTTTCCTTCGAGGTTTTGTGCTGTAAATAAAGTAGTTGCGCTTCTAGGGACATTTTCTTTCTGAAAATATTCTACACCTTCAGAAATACAAAGGGGTGTTGTGAGTTTGAAGCAATAACAAGACTCCGGTCTTTTTTATAATAGGTTTTTGGTCGCTGGCAGGTACTTGAAAAGATAGTGTCTTGTCTATTTAAGATGGTCCCTGAAGGACACAAACATTCACAACTGGTCCCTCAAGGGACACAAACATTCACAACCAGTCGCTAATGTTTGCGTAACGTCGTGAATTTATTCACGACTGGTCGTGAGTACTTGTCGTGAATGTTTTGGCGACATCGTGAATTTTTCACAAGTCGTGAAAAACTTGCCCCCAGTCCCTCTACAGTCGAGTTTTATTAGGAGCATGCATAGAGGGCGCCTTCAAGTCTACAGACCATAGACTGGTATCTCAAAGACATCCTCGCCACTCCTTAACCCGTAGGGGTGCAGTCCACAAATTCAAGTGATAGTTTCTGGCCAGCTCATTAGTATCGAAAGTGCCATCGTTGTGTTTTTTGAAAAAGGAGCTTGTTCAGCCCCCGAAGTGGTAAGGCTGTAAATCTTTGCAAGGATCAATTCCCTGGCTCTATAGGCTTGTATCCGATAGCAGAATGGATAAAGCAAAATAGGTTGAAAACGGTCGTAATTGCCCGAGAAAGTTGAGGGTATCCACATGAAAAATGGTTACAGGCATACTTCGAAAGTATCGCTTTTGGGGAGGTGATTTTATTTTTTGTGAATAATTTCAAATGTAATTCGTTAAACTACCAGAGATTGAAGAGAAATTGAAAGATTAGGGGCCAGACAGTAAATAAATCAGTGTTTCAGAAACCTGGAATGTTGGAATGCATGCAACTGGGCCCCGAACAAAGCTTATTTTACACTGTTTTCAATGGGGCTTGAATTGGTGCACTGCACCCTTAGTAGTCTGATTCCCATCCCATACTTAGTCTCCCGGTGAGACGTATTTCGTATTTCCTCCCAGGAAAATAATTACGCTCGCGGTACTCATTGTCGTTCAGAATTGGAGTATGAGGTGCAGCAAAAACAAGCAATAATGCCCCCTTAAAGACTCGACGGTGGAGGGAAGGAAATTTCATATCGCTACTTCATATATTTCTGGGACTTAATATTTTTGGAGATCGATATACCGCGTAACTACTCTTTTCTTGCTGCCGACAATTATATGGCACACAACAGTTACATTTCATTACACAATTAATTCGAGCAGAATTTTGATGCTTTGTATAGGCCTACTTTCATTTATAATTCCATTTGTATTGACATGTTTATTTGTATCTATATTTGTCGTGTCCCTTGATACTTTTCTTATTCATATTTCTCTGTTGTTCATGTATTTACACGTTTATTTTTAATTTGTCGTCTGTGCTCATGTTTTTTTTTGTTCGCGTTCATACTTCCTCTTAATTTCTGAAACAAATTCTGATTTGAAGGTGATTTGAAAAAATAATGCGATCAGATTTGAAAGAAAATACGTCAACGGTCTTTCCCGTTAAAAACAACTTCCCCAGCTTATCCAAACAAACAAATTAAAGTGCCACGTGGATTAAGACCCGAGCAAACATCAGTAGTATTTCAAGTTATTGCAAATTGAATATTTTGCACGTAGTAGTGCATGTATACGTTTACGTGCGTGGATGTACGTGCACAAGTACACACATAAATCAGGGCCGACCGCTCGACAGTGAGCCAAAATTGAAATTGATCAAACTAATAAAGGACAATTCGTAATAGCTTAAACATAACACAGTAACCTTTTTTTCACGCACTCTTTCAATTATCAAGGTATGCAGCATGTGTGGAGAAACTGGAGAACTATTCGAATTTTCGAGTTTAAAATATCCTTTTATACGTGTGGAAATGTAACATACACAGACATCTTTTACCCCATTTTTCTCCCAAAGGTCACTTATGAGGAACAAGAAACATCACAAAATGAAATCTGAAGCCTGACTATATTACTCCGGTATAAATTCAGCAAACTTTTACAGAATGCGGAAGATCTCGGCAGATGGATTTTGAAATAGTAGCTTGCTGGCTGGCGTCGCCATTTTCACAAGCAACAGATAGTAACCACGACTTTGCCAATTTTTAGCCTATGTGCACAAACTAAGTGGAAGGGGTGAACGTACGTGTATCCAGCAGGAATAGACTAACATGACCATTTTTTTCCTTTTCAGTATTGGTTGATGTACCGCATCAACAATAGGAAAACCTAATGCCCTGGTCAATGCTAGTATTGTAATCACTTGAAATACACTTGAGGATTAATATCTAAGGAGGAATTTTTTTTTAATTATTAAAATAATTTTTTACCCGTTATTTCGAGTTTGTTGACACCATCATGACATGGATTAATGTGATACTATTGTTAGTCTGGTTTCCAGGTGTGATAATCTCTGATGTGCATATTATCGTACACCTGGGGTCACCACTCATGTGCATAGAAAATGAAGCAATTTGAGATTCACCATTAATTTTGCTTTTAGGCCTTAATTTGTATATTGCATGAATCAGCCTAAGTATAAAACAGTTTATTGCTGTGGTCAATTTTCATGTCCTTCAACTGATAAAGCAGGTGCGTTATTTGTATTCACCGGTATCACGGGTGACGTGCGCCGAGTAACAGAGAATGGCGTGATATGCTGAGTTGAGTAAGCTGTGTGTTTTTCCAGGCAAAAAGGAGTAGTATAATAGTGACAGTTCCGGACCACACGCCCTTTTCACCGTTTTCAGCAAAAACTCCTGGGTAGTACATCGACGCATAAAATCAAGGGAATCCCCTAAAAATCTGGAATTCCAGATTTTAACAA